TTCATAGTTTTGTAGAGTCTTAAAAGGAAACTCTTGATCCTATTGTAATATAGCATTAGCTGCAACTGGAATTTTTCTTGTAATAATCTGAAAAACAATTTTCACATCGTCCTTGAAGTTCATATTGCATGAATGAGATATCTTGATTCATCTCACATACACTCACGATATTATTCACATTCCTTTCTTTTCTTTTGGTTCTCAACAACATGAGCAATCAGACCTAAGGGTATAGGTAATAAAGTAGCATAGTGGACTCAAACAGTGTGTAGAGAAGTACTATGCATCAAACTCTACCTAACAAAGGAAGTAGAGATGAAACACTATTCATGAATTTAAGCCCTATCAGCCATGATACATATAATATGTGAATGTGTTTCTCGATTCTAACATTAAGCCATTTGATTAACATTTTTCAAGTAAAGGCAAGAGAATGAAGCACAGTTGGTGACTTCTACTATCAAAGCCATGGAACAAGAATCTTTAGGAAGTTTTCACATTCGGTAACGTGTATATTGGCATGAAAGTACATTAGTTTTCCAATTTTTTTTAAATTTCGCGTTAGGGAATCGTTGTAACATTTTTTTTCTGACGTATGTTTTTTTTTTTTCTTATTTAAGTTTATTGAATTTCAAATGTTCAAAATAATTTATTGAAGACTTCAAGAATGATTTCTTTTGAGAATTTATAAGTTTTTTCATGTCATGAGGTACTGTCAATATGATGGTTGATCTCTAAGTCGTTAAATGAATCAAGAAACTCAAAAGCAATAACTATAACACGTGGGCAACATGCATGATGTCTTATTTACAAGGACAAGATCTTTGGGAGGTCGTTGGCGATGAACTTACGCCTCCAGAGGAGGATACTAACGACGCCTTGTGGAAATGGAGAATCAAAACATGCATGATAATGTTTGTCTTGAAAACCACAGTAAAAAAAGAAATGTTGGAGCACGTTTGGGATGAAAAGACATCGAAGAAGTGTGGCACAAGTTCATGACATTTTTCTAAAAGAAGAACGATAGGAGGTTACAATTTCTGGAGAACGAGCTATTATCAATCTCACAACATGACATGACTATTGCTCAGTACTTCCATAAGGTCAAATCAATCTATTAGGAAAATACTGAACTAGATTCGAAGTCCATCACCGAAGAAGCTCGAATGAAAAGGGTTATCATCCACGAATTGCAACCAGAATATAGAAGTTTTGTTCTTGCAATACAAGGATGGCCTCAACCATCAGTTGTAGAGTTTAAAAATTTGCTAGACAGTGAAGAAGTCATAGCTAAGAAAATGTGAGACGTCACATTAAAGAGTGAAGAATGAGCACTCTACCCAAGTAAAGTCTGAGCAACATTAAGTCGCCAACCAAAAATGCTGTCAAAAGAAAAAAAGTAAGGAGGGAACTGCATAACTTTGGACAACTTAGAAGAACGTCACTAAGAGTTCTCAAGAGAAGATGTTTAAAGGCATTTGCTACCATTGGAGAAAGAAGGGCCACAAGTCCAAGGATTGCGAGTAAAAAAAAAAGTCTGTCAAAAGAAATGCGGCAACCTTCATAAATGAGATAGAGGATGAGTGGGATGGAGAACTACCATGTGCTTAGAAGAAGACGAGCTAGCCCTTATGGCGATGATGGAAGAGCATACCGATTATGAGAATGATTATATCTTTGATTTATGATGCTCAAACCATATGATTGCCAATAAGAAGAAAATCTTACTAGATTTGAACAATATTGAAGAAATTTTACAACAGTAAACGGGGGAGCAAACTGCATACATTTGGTGCAGTATAGACATGCCTGGAAATCCAAGTGACACTGATGTTGGGGAACAAATAGTAACTCAACCAAGTAAACCTAGGGAAAAGAAAATGACACCTCAATAACTTAGACAATCATAAAGAATTTGAAATCCAGATCCTAAGTATACAAACATAGCTATTATAGAAGACAAAGTTAAAGAGCGAAAGATATATAAAGAAGCATCACAAATCTCGACTTAGCAAAAGTGATGGAGGAAAAAATTATTGTCTCGGAGTAAAATTAAACTTGGGAATTAGTATCGAGACGAGGAGATGCCATACTCATTTCTTGCAAATGGGTTTCCAAAAATAAAGCGTCCCCTTGATGGATCAATCGGGAAATACAATATGCTCGACTTGTAGCTCAAGAGTTCTCTCAACAATATGGACTAAACTATGATGGAACGTTTAGTTCAGCGACGAAAATCACTATTGTACGAGTTCTACTAGCACATGCTGCAAGTAAAAATTGAAAAGTATGACAAATGGATGTGAAGAATGCTCTCTTGCACAAAGAGAAGAGTTGGACGGAGAGATCTACGTGAACCAACCAAAGAGCTCTCATGCACATAAAACCCCATTGTAGGCTTGTACATAAAGGTCTCCGCACATGGACATTATAGTCTATCAAGACGTGGTTCTCTCCTAGCTAGTCCATTCCTTGGATGATATTAAAATCTTGCATCATCTCATTGAACCATGATTTCAAATGTTGGACCTCGTGCATGTCTTATACTCATATGATAATGAATTACTTCCTTCGTATGATCACATAGTGATATGGAAACTCTAGTCAATTAGATCTAAGAACTCTTATGGATATGCAAACCCTTAGATCATAAATGGTAAACACCTCAAATCAAGATGCTTTCTTCCCGACGATATGAAACTTCTAAGAATTCGATTTATCAATCTTATTGAAAAATAAGATCTTTAAATATAATATATCCAAGAACCCTAAAACAACACAACAATAAGCAAAATAAGATTCAAAATACTTTCTTGATCAAATATCAAAACTTTTTTAAGATTCAAATCACTCCGCAATCAAGATTGATTAAGTCAATTTTATATAATTTGAAGTATACAGACCTAGCTAGACTAAAAGAATACATAAACACTCTTTAACTATTTTTTTCAAATTTTACAAAAACAATGTACCGATAAAAAAACAAAAAAAACTTTTTTAACTTTTTATGAGAATTGCAAGAGTAGTAACTTTCATTAATCATTATATAAATGTAACGCAAAAATAAATACAAAGTCTTAAAACTTAAAATATATTAATAGAACATCGTAAATTTAGATTTCAATTATCTATTCAAGAATTTGGAACCATCCAAAAATAAATGAAACCTTGTTTAAAGTAACTTGAATCCATTATTGCATAAATGCAACTTGATTCGTTTTTAATATAGCATTAACTACAATGTGAGTTTATCATCGGGTAATTTGAATAACATTTTTTACATCTTCTTTGAAGTTCATATTGCATAATTAAGATGTCTTGGTTCATATCAGGTACATCCACGATATTATTCACATTTCTTTATTTTATTTTATTTTATTTTCAACCGCATGAACATGCACTTACTCATTACCAGACTTAAAGGGATATATTAATGAACTAGCCTAGTAGACTCAAGTGTATGGATCACGTGTAGAGAAGTACTATGCATCAAACCATACCCGGTAAAGAAATAAAGTTAAAGCAATAGATACTTCCGTACCATGTTACTATTTTTATGTTGTAATTTTAGTTTAGTCAGTAATTGTTTATTGCTATCATATAAATTATTCAATTAGATTTCATTATTATTATTAAGATTTTTTTAGATGATAGTCATGTTATTTTAATTAGGTATTATTTTTTAATTAATTAAATCAATAGAATTAAAAGTATCACTAGAAAATAAAATAAATGGAATGAAAAAAATAAGAGTAAGTTGAATTTATTAAACTAATTTTGTTGTTTTTATTTAAATCAAAAAAGAAAAGGGCGGAAGACGAGGATTTAGCAGTCGGGCTGGCCCAGTTCCAAATAGATGGCGCCTTTTCCGGAAAGAACAAAAAAGGAAGATAAAAAATGGAGATGCGGGGTATCGAACCCCGTACCTCTCGCATGCAAAGCGAGCGCTCTACCATGTGAGCTACATCCCCTATTTGTTTTCCCAATTGCCTCTTATTTTTAACATTTCTTTTATTAAACGAATATAATTTTAGTTTTAAAATCATTGTTTTCTAGTAACTCACTCTCTTCTTCCACGTATTTAATTTTGTTGTTGTAATTATTTAGAGTTGAGTTAAAAATTAAATGTCAAGAAATTAATTTCATAACTGTCCATAGCTATTTAAACCAAAAAAAAAAAAAAAAAAATATGAATTGATTAGAATTTACCCAAATAAATTGGGATCATAATAAAAAAAAGAGAGAAACACGAAGAGAAAGAAAATGAAAACCTCTTCGAGGCTTTATACCATAAATCCTTACAATCTCCCACTTGCACTAGACTTGGGAGACATGTATCATAGAGCATTCTCTATATTCGAATTGTTTGTTATATGAATAACCCATACCTTGTGGCCCGTATTACGTTCTATTAAACTCTTATGTTAATTGTATGATTTATACGATGTACATCTTTCCATTTATGTTTGAATATGACGAATATGATGTTATGCTCATTTTGCGACACATCATGATGTATGATGTACTATAAGCATGATTGAATTACTATGAATTTGTGTGTTCATCTCGTAAGGAATTTAAGTTGTGTTGTTTATGAAAGTATTGTGTGAATCAGAACCATGATTTTAAATGTGAGATCTCATACATGTTGCATGCTCGTATGATCATAGATTACTTCTTTAGTTTGTAATATACAGACACTAATATTCACTAATATTACTTCTGTTGCTTTCTTTTCTACTGGTTTCGACAGTGTGAGAGTATACTAGCTCATGTTAGACATCACGAACCTCCCCAGTGGTATGATGTTATGATGTTGTCCACTTTGAGCATAAAGTCTCGTGTCTTTGCTTTCAATTTCCTCAAAAAATCTCACACTAATGAAAATAGTATTCCTTACTTATAAAGTCATGATCAGCCTCTTAATTAGCCGATTTAGGACACCTCTCTCGATAATCCTCAATAATCCTCGCTTCAAATAAAGTACATCGTAAAGCCTCTCCTAATCGTGGCTCGTCTCCTTTCTCTGAAGCCCTAGAACAAAGTACACCCTTTATATTGACACTTGAGTCACTTTTGACTACATCTTCGAGGCTAGCAACTTCTTTGTTCGACACTTGAGAATTCGATTAGCAAGGCTAAATTAAGGACATAGCTTTGATACCATATTGTTGAACACAACTCTTTGTGGGAAACACTCGTACTCTTTATTAACACCAATTGAGAAGAGAATTACTAAACACTCAGTACTATACTCTTTTTGAATATATAGAGGCCTTCTACGAAAATAACAAAAAAGGAACTAAAAAAATTGGAGATGCGGGGTATCGAACCCCGTACCTCTCGCATGCAAAGCGAGCGCTCTACCATGTGAGCTACATCCCCTACTTTTCACTATAGTCACTCTTTATAGTTAATATAGTTTTCTATAAGTGAGTGAGGCTCGCAAGCAACCTACGACATTACTCATCGTGGCACCAACCCATAGCGATGTCTAAAAGTTTGTAACAAAGCGCACGTTGGCATATTTCAATTAACTTCTCAATTGGTCACGTTCGATGTGGCAACCATTGCCTTGCTTCCTTAGCCTTCTTGCAACTTCACTTCTCTCTCTACCCACTTCCGGTTTGATGTAAATAGATTTTGATTTTGGCCATTTTATGAAGTCACTTACCTTACGCACTAGGAGTGACTCAAGAAATACACGTGCTCTCACACTTTGAAGTACACTCATAGATGATTGTTTATTAGTTTATTTATATTATAAATAATGTATTTAAAAATAATATAAAATATTGATATGTTTTTTTTAATCATTTAAGAAATTGAAATGATAGAGAAACTAAATAAAATAATAAAATAATAATCAAAAGTGTAAAGCGTTCACATTTTTCGTACTTAACAAGTAATAATAAATAATGAAGATGAAGTTTGATTCTCTCCGTTCTTCAAAGTTTTTTTAAACATATTTTTCAGTGTTTTTTAAGATAAAAGGGTGAGTAAGGAGTCATAAAGATTTGCTTATCATATATGATGGAGTAATATTCGTCTTCTTTACAAAACCAGCACTTATATCATTGAACCATTGTCCAAGAACCAACCAAAAATAATTCGTTTTCATATACATTAAATAAACTTTTGCAATAATGGAATTGCAATTAAAATTAGGTAGGGACAACTTTATTCGTTCAAAATTAAAAGAAACATCCGGAAAAAAAAACATCATAGGCAGACTTTAGATCATCCATGTGATGAATTTTCATTTCACATTTCTTTGGGTCAAAAATAATAGGTCAACAAAATTTATTATTACGAGAGGTACGGGGTTCGATACCCCGCATCTCCATTTTTCATCTTCCCTTTTTTGTTCTTTTCGGAAAACGCTCTATCTATTTGGAATTGGGCCAGCCCAACTGCAAAATCCTCGTCTTTTGCCTATTTCTTTTTTGATTTAAATAAAAACAACAAAATTAGTATAAAAATTCAACTTACTCTTATTTTTTTTGGTTCCATTTATTTTATTTTATTTTATTTTCTATTGATTTAGTTAATTAAAAAATAATATCTAATTTAAATAACATGGTATCATTTAACAAATCTTAATAATAATAATAATGAAATCTAACTCAATAATTTATTTGATAGCAATAACAATTAACTTAAAAGACTCTTAAAAGCAATTCTATCATTATAAATTCAATAAAATAAAATAAATACTTTTTATATCTCCTATTTAGAATTTTAATTTTAATTTAAATAATTATTCTTCATTAGCTAAATCTAAATTTATGATGTATTTTCAATCTTATAATTTTGTATTTACTTTTATAACTAATTTTGAATTTGATACTGTTATATTAAAAAAGAAATAAAATAAATAAATTTATGGAAAAGGAGGAAATTTGAAGTGTAAGAAGAAAACAGTTGGGCGCCCAAAGATTTCTCTAATCCCCACATCGTTTTCTCCGAAAATAACCTACAAACTTCGGGAACGTCCCATGTTGTCCCTTTCCCAACCAACTAAACTACTCGACACTTCCCTGCCATTCACACAAACTCACACCCAAACCCCATAATTTCAATACTCTCCATTATCTCTCCCTCCTCCTGGGCCCATTCCTTCAACGACGACGACGACGACGACAACAACCCCTTCACCATGCCCATTCTCCTGCCTTCCCTACTTCTCTTCCAAGCCCTGTTTCTTGCGCCTCTTCATGCCGCCCAATTCAACTACAAGGACGCTCTCACCAAATGCCTTATTTTCCTCGAGGCTCAGAGGTCCGGCAAGCTCCCTCCCAACCACCGCCCCCCTTGGCGCGGCGACTCCGCCCTCGACGACGGCAAGCTTGCCAATGTTCCCACTCCTTCCCCTTCTTTTTTTTTTCTTTCCATAATCAACCCTTCTCTCTCATTTACGCCCCCCCCCCCTATTATTGGTTCTTCCAGGTAGACCTCGAGGGAGGGTATTACGACGCTGGAGACAACGTCAAGTACGGCCTTCCCATGGCTTTCACCGTCACTACTCTTGCATGGGCTGCTTTGGCTTACCCGGCCGAGACCCAAGCCGCCGGTGAAATGGAAAACCTTAAAGCTGCCATCCAATGGGGTACCGATTATCTTCTCAAGGCTTCTTCCCGTCGCAATCGTTTCTATGTCGAGGTAATTTAATTTAATTTAATGCTCGCATGAATTTTAGCACTTAAGAATGAAAAATAAAATATTTTGTATCCAAGGTGGGGGACCCGGTTAAGGATCATGAGTGTTGGATTAGGCCTGAAAATATGAAGACTCCGAGGACTGTGCTGCAAATTGATCGTACCACTCCGGGTACAGAAATTGCTGCTGAAACCTCTGCAGCTATGGCTTCTTCTTCCATCGTCTTTAGAAACTCTAATCGAACCTATTCTCGTCGTCTTCTAAACAAAGCTAAAACGGTATAAACTCTTTAACCTCATTCTGTGTCGGTTCGTTTGTTCGTTTGTTCGTTCGTTGGTTGACATAGCTGGTTTTGTTTTTGTTTGCAGCTTTTTCAGTTTGCTAAAATGAACCAGGGAACTTATGATGGAGAGTGCCCTTTCTATTGCTCTTACTCCGGCTACAATGTAATTTTCCTTCTCTTTCTTAGTTTCGAATAATTTACTAGTTACGAGCGGTTCAATATATGTATCATATTTGACTATTTATTATGAAAAGTTCCGTATGATATTTAGCCTTCTATTATGGTTTAAGATAGACACCATATGTAACCTTTTATTACGGTCAAATTTTCACTCGTGTTGGAGGCTCTATCTACAATCATTACTTTCACCATTTACTGTACTTTGTTTGAGAGCTCTTTTTTTCTTAATTTTGTTGTGTCGGCCTCTTTGAATAATTTACGAGTTACCCGTGTAGGATGAGTTGTTGTGGGCTGCTACATGGCTATACATTGCAACCAGGAGGCCAGCTTATTTTAAGTACATTACAGAAGAGTCTGTTAGTGGCAGTGTAGCTGAATTCAGCTGGGATCTCAAATATGCTGGCGCTCAAATTCTTCTTTCCGAGGTTCTTATAATGTTTTTAATACCCATTTCATCAATTTACATATCTAATTTGTCGTCCTTCAAAACAACCACAGATCTATTTTCAAGGACAGAAGGGGTTACAGATGTACAAAAATCAGGCCGATAGCTATATTTGTTCCAATCTTCCAAACAGCCCTTACCACCAAATTTATCTATCTCCAGGTCTTTTATCTCTCTCTCTTGTTCTTGTATGTATATCAATGAATTCAAGTATGGACCTAAGTTACTACCTGAAATTCATAGGTGGAATGGTTCACATGAGAGATGGAGCCAACACGCAATACGTTACCGGAACCGCGTTCTTGTTTAGTGCTTATAGCGATATCCTTGCAACCCATCAACAAACGGTTCAATGCGGCGGTCAGCAGTTCGATTCGACTCAACTCATGACCTTTGCCAAGAAACAGGTACTCCCTTGTTAGAATGGTACGATATTTGATGATTGTATTGACATGACTTTGATATCATGTTAGGAATCACGGACCTCCACAATTGTATGATGTTGTCCACTTTGAATATAAATTCTCGTGATTTTGCGTTTGATTTTTTCCAATAGACCTCGTACGTAAACTCGTAATCAAACCCTTTAATTAGCTCACTCATGGTTGAAGAGTAAAGATTTAATTTTTTTTAGATGGATTACCTGTTGGGGAACAACCCACAGGGAAGATCGTACATGGTGGGGTTCGGGAACAACCCACCGACGCAGGCGCACCACCGCGGCGCGTCGGTGCCGGTGATGCCAGCCAACGCAGAAGTGAACTGCGCGATGAGTTTCGTGTACTGGCTGAACAACGACACGCCGAACCCCAACGAGCTAACCGGCGCAATTCTGGGCGGCCCCGACCGCAGTGACAACTTCCTGGACAAGCGTGTGGTGTCACCCATGACCGAGCCCGTGACTTACACAAACTCCCTCGCCGTTGGAGTCCTCGCAAAGCTGGCCGCCAACAGGTTCACCTGAAAAATGAATTCCCGAGAACATACCTTATTTAGGCGTTTTTTAGTCGCTTCTTCTTAGGACAGTACAGGCTATAAGGTAAGCTGGGTAGATTTTCCCTTACGGGGACGATGTGATTGGTCTTTCTAGAAAGTAGAGCTTATGAGATTTGGGGATTTCAAGATTTCCTTCTTTTTATTTAATTTCTTTTTAAATTTTGTTATTATTTATTTATAATATTTTCCAATTCAACAAATATGACTCAAAAGACAAACTAGATGTCTTCTCCAATGTTCTTGGATTGCCCCTTGCGTTTATTTATCATTAATTTAATTACTCCCCCTTTGCTCTCGAAATTCTAGATTCAATTGTAATAATGCTTATTGTGAATTTATTCCGAGTCTTATCCTAATTTTTTTTACCACTTTTTTTTAAGCTAGGTATAATAAAAATTAAAAGTTTCAAATTTGGCAGAAAATTGAAAGATTTTGGGTGAGGTGTTGGGAAACGTGCAGTGGAACAACCTCGTTCATGATCTCTTTAAATACTCTCATTACCCACTCTCTCAAACCACCAAGTATCTTTATTTGAGTATCAAGAGAGAGAAGCATAGTGAATTCGAGTGGAGATCGATCTTCTCGGGTTCCTTCATTTGGAGAGATCTTAGATTTGGTAAAAGCTTCACAGGAAACAAATCACACAGACTGGTAAAGACTCGTTCGTTCCTTGTACGTTAGTAGGTCTAGAAGGAAATTGTGTGAGTTTCTTCCTCATATATATATCATCGTGTGTAGGATTTGGTGTCGTCTTGGTCATGAAAATGGACCCACCAAAGTAGTAGTCAATGGAGGGCGTGTCAACGTTCGTCCAAAAGGAGACGAAAAACCACACCCCAATGTTTGGGAGACAATTTTTCTTGAAAGGGCGTGTTCTTGGGCGTGTCAACCTTCAAATTTGATTTTGGAGACCATTTTTTTTATGATTCAATCATAAATCAAGTCACTCTCACGGTAATGAGAGGGTGAAACTCCATTGTTCAAGTCCCGAAATCAGTATTTAAGTTTTCTTATATAAGTAAATGAGTGAATTTCATCTC